GGCTGAGCCTGACAGAGCTCCAGGAGTGTTTGGCCAATGCTCTCAGGTACAGGGTGGGATTTTGGGGTGTCCTGTGCAAGGTCAGGAGTTGGATTCAATGATCCTTGTGAGTCCCTTCCAGCTCAGGATATTCTGTGATTGTATGAACACATTCAGACTTCTGCCCTTTCTGCCCCACTGCTAATTAATAAACTCAATCAAAGCAACTGCCATTTAGTTTCCATTATTTTCTGGTTGCACAGCAACAGCCCAATTGGAGGAACATTAACCTACACAGGGATAGTGCAGATAAAAACACATCAGCACAGGCATTTTGGGTTATGTTGACTTAAAAGGGACAAAATGCAACATTTTGCTCACTGTAATATTTCATTCAGGCAAGGTAATAATTAGAGGAGGTGCCAAAGACTTGGGAATATGTGGAATGCATGGAATTCCCCCCCAGGACTCACAAACAGAACACACTCAAGAAAATACTTCCCATTGGAGGTTTTTTTTATTCCCTCCTAAACAATTTCTAATAGAAAAGGATTGTACACAGTAACACTCCTGTACAGGAATCCCTTACAGCTACCAAACAGTCCTGCTGGATACTCCAAAGGTTCACGAGGTGATAAGCACAGGAACAAGTCACTTTCTGCCTCTATTGAAAGTCTGGGGGGAATTAGATGTTTATTGTTCTTAAGAGGATTAATCTTTGATCACAGGGAAGACAGAAATGTTTGTATAAAAATGTCATTAAAAGGATCACCTACAACACTGTTTCATTTCCTGCAGGAACCACAGAGCACCTGTCACTGGGCTCATCTGTGATGTGACTTTTAACAATCTGTGTGTGGTTGGTTTGGATTAGTTTTGAGGCAAACCTGAGCTCCCTCTCCTGAATCCACAGCAGTGGGAGGGCACAGAGCTCTGATCTGAGGGTGCTGTGCTCCACGCAGGGTCTGAGCACACCCACTGATCAGGGCTGGCCAGTACACACACACTGGGAGCACTGGTAAGGCTGGAACAGGTCTACCCATCAAAAAAAAACATTAGTCAGCTATGCAATGTCCTTCAGAAACTCCCAGGTGTGTGTCAGGAAGGCTCAGCCACTCCCATCTTCACCCCTAAAACAAGGTAAAGTTTGCTCCAAAGGGGAGTGACTACTTCAAGTGCTCTACTGGCAACTGCTCTTCTCTTACCTGGCTCTAAACAGTGTCCAGGTGACAAAGTCAGCCCAGGTGACTGTATCACTCCAGGTGACAAAGTCAGCTCAGGAAACTCCCAGGTGTGTGTCAGGAAGGCTCAGCCACTCCCATCTTCACCCCTAAAACAAGGTAAAGTTTGCTCCAAAGGGGAGTGACTACTTCAAGTGCTCTACTGGCAACTGCTCTTCTCTTACCTGGCTCTAAACAGTGTCCAGGTGACAAAGTCAGCCCAGGTGACTGTATCACTCCAGGTGACAAAGTCAGCTCAGGTCAGGTTAGTGTCACTCCAGTGTCAGCCCAGCCACACACTGAGGGTTCCCCCTGCACACCAAACTGCTCTGTGCAGGCACAGCAAACCCTGTCCCTGCCCTTCACACTGTGGTTTTTGGATGATCTCCTATTCCTTCTCTCAGACACAGCAATCACAACCTGCACTATGTCCTCCAGCTATGGACAGGGTGGATTCCAGAGCCACCTGCACAGCTGGAGTTACTAGCTAAAGCTCCTAAAAAACAACCAAGGGAGAAGAAATGAACCATCACAAGGGAGGACACGTCGAATGCTTCAGTTAAGCATCTGAGTGCTGCAGTTCCTGAGACAGAGCAGCAATGCAGCCCCTGCCATCGACAGCAACTCCAGAAAAATGCAGAGAAAACAGCCCACACAACTGGAAAGATAAAACAAATATACAAGGAAACACCTGAAAGAACAAATCCTTGTCGGGTAGTTTCCTAACAGTCTCTGGAGGTTTGGAGATGAGGTTTTTGTGGCCTAAGCCTCACAGTCAGGCAGATCTTCTCTCCCCACCTCGAAGGATTCTTTGCTGATGGACAACAGCTCACGAAGCTCTTTGTTTTCAAGCTGCAAAGTCAATATTTTCGCTGAATTAGAAAGGAGCTAATTCACAATTAAAGGACTGTAAGATAAATGAGTTAATTCACAGATGATAAACTTCCAATAGCTTCACTCCTTCACAGCTAAATAAAGCACTTGTCATATAGGTATTAATTCAGTGCTGGCACTGGGGGAACCTCATCATCAACAACTTATATTTGGCTTCTGCCTTTACATACACACAAACATGTATAAAATACAAAGAGTTGAAGATAAACAGATCATGTTCTGTTTCCTCACCCCACCCCCAAATTTTGAGTGTTATAAATCCTTGGCACAAACACAGAAACTCCAGAGTAAGTCTAGAGACTCTTAAATCTCAATCCATCCTCAGCAATTGTATCTGTTCTTACCTCCAACTGAGCCAGTTTCTCTTGGACTTTATAGTACTGATCATCATCCACCTGAACAGCTTTTCTCATCACCTCTCCCATCTCACATATTCTGTCTATTTGACTTTCAATTTCCTGGAAGACAGAAAAGTAATACATTCAGTGTGTTCAGGCACAAGCAACAGTCATCATTTATCCCTTGTAAATCACTTCAATTTTCCTGATTTTGGATTCTTTTCATGTTCTGAATTTTAATCCTTCCTAACTTGCATATTTAAAGGAGAGAACATATTCCTTATTGTCCTTTATCATGAGTCACCAGGGAAAGTAGAGATGAGAATCACAGCAGAGCAAGGTCAGGCACCATGACTTACTAACAGGGAAATACCTTCAAGTGTGACAAGGACTGAGACAACAGACTCAGGTTCAGGTGAATGTGATCAGTAAGCAGCAAGTTTTCTATTTTTATTAGAAAAGCCTGACTGAATCTGTAAAAACACTGAGTATAAAAGCAAAGGAGACTTCAAGTAGCAGTGGTGGGGGGGGAACAGCCTCACTCAGGACTCCAAGCAAGAAAATTAAACCAACTAAGACCAGATTTTACTGAGTGTGTCCAGAAACATCTCTAATCCTTCAGAAGATGTATTTTGATGAAGCTCAGAAATGCACACAGAACAAACACTGAAAAATTCCAACATAGAATGCAGCAACAGCTCCTGTTTGAAGAGCAATAGATCAGCTAATGTTACAGGGTGGAGTTTCTTTTCTCTAAGTGCCTGTAGTTCTCCCACTGCCTCTGGAAGATAAATGTCTCACAGAGCAGAGAATTCAGATTTGAATTCCATTATTCAGGAAGTATGTAAACAAATTAGAGCATCTAGCAGACAGCTGGATGAACGAGAAAGTCTTCCGGGAAGAAAGTATTTGTGTTATTTTCTAAACAAAGATGGTTATAATAAGAAAAGAGCTCTTTAAGAGATATTAAAATGTTGTTATTATTCTCCAAGTGGTGGGTAGGAAATAACTCAGGGACTTAACCTGAAGTATGGAAGATCTTGCCTAGATATTGAGACAGCCTAAGGGTATCCCATCAAAGGTTCTTCCAGAGCCTTTTCAGCTTTTCATTTCCCAGTTCTGTTCAAATGCAGCAAGAGCAATTCATGCACTCAGGCAAGCACTGGAATCAGACACTGCTCCACCACTTACCTTCACAAGCAACCCACACAAGAGAACTAGTGAGTTGCCATGCATCAGTGCAATGATACATGTGCAGACAGTTAGACTGACTCTAGTCCCAAATAAAAATACACCAGGCATGAGATGTCACTGGGTTGAACCCACTTGTTGTCTAACCACATAAAAAAGCATTTTAACAAATGCCTAATGCAATTCATAACTCTTGGATAGAGTTATAATGTTACTCTGTTGTTATTAGCTACTCAAACCTGGGACAGGCAGCAGTTAGCAGTAGCCACATCTCATGGACAAAGAGACACTTTCAGTGCACAGAGTATCTAGACTTAAAAACACTTGGGAGTGAAGATCTTGAAAGAACTAAACACACTGCAGCTCACAGAAACTGAGCAGGTCCTTTTCCCTCTGTTACAGTGACTGAACAGGCACAGTAACAACTCTGGTGTCTTGGATTTTACTGTAGAGCATCAGGTGCATTAAGCTTATGCTAGGGAATTCACCAGCTGGTGCCAAAGAACAAGCCTCCACCTGAGCTGTGAAGGTGTTGTGCCTTTCAGTGGCTTCTGTGACAGCTGTTACAGACTGTGTGCTCTGAAAGGAACAGAGGGAAAATACCAGCAAAGAGAGACAAGAGCTTCAGAAGACCTAACTTGGACCAGAGATATTGCAGGAGTGGAAACAAAGGCTGTATGACAGCAAGCAAGGGACAGGGACAGGGCTTGAACCCTCTTTTGTTCCCATCACACCTTACCACAGAATTAGCCTGATGAACCTTCAAGGTTGGTTCTGCATCTTCAGCTTTTCTCCCTTCCAAAAGCTGCAACATCTGCTTCCTGTACTTGCTCATGATGAGCTCTAGTGCATCCTGGTGCTCCTCCAGTGAGACCCACAGCTCTGCAGAACACAGTCACAAACGACAGTCTCACAGCAGTGACAGCAGCTGCCTAGAGGTGCTGAGTACCAGCTGCTGCCATGGTCAGCTCTGCCCCACTGCTCCCTGTGACAGCACAGCCCTGGCACTGCACTTGGGGCTGCCTGGACTCTGTCACAGGCAGAGTCACAAGACACAGCCTCACTCCCCTCGACACCACCCTCCAGCCTGGACCACCGAGTGTGCTGCATCCCCCAGCAGCATCCCCTGCACCCCACCCCAGTGAGGTCCCTCTGCACATCACCCCCAGCACTGCTCACCCCTGTTCTCCTGCTGCAGGTCACGGATCTGTGTGTTCTCCTGCGCCAGCAGCACGTGTGGCCGCAGCCGGGACGGGTCGAGCCGTTCCACCGGGGCTCCCGGGCCCTGCCGAGACACGATTGGACCTCTGTGTGTGTGTATGTGCCTTGAAGGAACACAGCTGTATGTGTGTGTGTGTGTGCCCTGCCTGGACACAGCTGTGTGTGTGCCCTACCTGGACACAGCATTGTGTATGTGTGTGCCCTACCTGGACATAGTTCTCTCGGTGTGTGTGTGTGCCCTGCCTGGACACGGCTCTGTGTGTGTGTGTGCCCTGCCAGGACACAGCTCTGTGTGTGTCTATGTGTGCCATGCCTGGACACAGCTCTG